TGCAGGAACCTAAACTATCACAACACATTTCAAATAAGAAATTATATCATTGCTACACTCTTTCAGAGATACAGTATTTAATGTTATTGCTGTATAAATAGTCAATGTCTAGAAAAAGATAAGTTTAAGTGTTTTATCTCTAGTACATTTAACTACTGGGGAGTTAATTTCAGACAACACTTTAATGAAATGCTTACATTTTTCTGCCGGCTACTAACAAGGTCAAAAGCAAGGCTGGCTCTATATTCGCTGTAGACCTGAAGGCAAATAAGAAAAAAAGTAAGATGTAGTCTAGAACATATACACAGTGGAAAGGTTTAGACTCTAGATAAAAATGCTTGCTAACTGCTCAGGGACAGAAGCAAGATGCTAACGAGCAGCCTGACACCCACAGCTTGAGGAAGATAGTCTAAGCTGTCCTGAGGATTTGCTTCAAAGAGGAGCAGCAGCCAATGACTATCATTCCCAGAGTTTAGAAGTTACAGGGATGTGGTTGTTTGAAGCAGTGCTATATTAAAAAAAAATAATTCTTAAAATAAGTTTTTATAAAATAAGTTTTATAATCGTGTATTCAACCACAATAATAACAAAAGGATGGCGATAGCGAGGGAGACAGAAATGGACTGGACCTTATCAGAGTCATGGTAGCAGCTACTGGGGAGCATCACAACTATATTCTCACTAAAAATGGCATGAATCAAACCTTTACTATTAATTTCAGGTATTGAGAAAATGACCCTATGAAAGAGAACCACCCTGTATTGAAGAAGCCAAGAGAGAAAATTTATGAATTCATTTTTGATTCCTGCTTTGCTGAAAGGACAGAAACATGCTTCAAGCATTTAGAAAACAGAAATAGAATGTTACAACTGATATTCCATTCAGTTTTGAGGTAAACAATAAATAGGCTGTCAAAATACAACACAAGAAAATCAAGAAAGCTGTTGAGCCAATTCTCCATTTGGAACTAAGGCTGAGGCTGTGCCATGACACTCTCCACCTTCACGTATCTGGATAGTGATTTATAGGCACAGAACTATTTCTAAAGATCCTAGAGAGAATGATTACAACATAAAGCAAACTCTTTAAAGCTTTCTCAAGTGAGTTCAGAAGTAAAATGTTCAGCTTGTCTCCTAGGAGTTAGGTACCTGTTTATATTCAGAGAAAAAAAATTTTAAATAGGAAATATTTTGCAAATTAATCAAGGTTTTGATGTTTCTATTTTAAAAATAGATCTATTATGATTTTAATAACTCATAGATACAATAAAATAAAGGTTACACCTTTATGATAATACGGAGTCAAGGAAATATTAACTAGGAATTGCTAGAAATACATACATCTGCAGTGATGTCATTGAATTTGGTGATAAAGGCGTGCTTTACAATATCCACAGCAATTTCTGATGCGATCACCATACAGACATCAGGAAACAAGACCCAGAGATGATCTATAAAGCAGGGAAGAACCAGATAATTAGACCTCTTCATAAACAGAACCTGAACCTCAAGCTCCCAGCAATCTGGAACCTCCACCAGGGTGCACTGCAGTATTTTCAATCTTTAGTGGAGAACTAGCGTTCTTTAATCACAGCCTTCATTCCAGAGTCATCTTACCAAGTCAAAGGATAATTAATGCTTGTTCAGCAGTTTGTATTATCTTAGCACCGCTTTACACGCAGGCCAGAGTCCACCAGAACCTCTGGCCTGGGAGGAAACCTCCCACTGGAGAGGGTAAGTGGTGAAGCCCTTTCCTCCTTGATCACCGTGATCACTTAAAGATCTGGTTCATTATTTCAGAGCCACATAGACAAAACTTACTATATCCGCTTACTTTAACTGCTTACTTTTATAGCAAGAGACCTCAATTCAGTGCTACATAACTGATAAACACATCCACAGGCATCCTCCCTAGGCCCCAAACCATAGCTGAAGAGATATAAAGCAAAGATGTCTGGAAATGCTAGCAGGAGCTTACAGAAACTCAGCATGGACTCCTGGAGGGCAGGGCCGCCTACATGGCCAACACAGGGCAGTTTTTCTGAGTCTGGCAGAAGTTATGAGACTCTTAGAACTCTTAATACCAAATGCTGCCTGCCATCTCCTGTTATGTTCTTGGGCAAATTTTCTAAGCAACTAAATTCTAGTTTCCTCATCTACAAAATGAGAATAACAGAATGTTTACTTTTCATTACTATAAGATTTAACTGAGATACTGATATGCAACCATGTGCTTTCCATGCACAACAGTATTTTTGTTATTAGTTAACCTGGGCACAAAGGAAAAAGAATTAAAAAAAAACCCAGAAATATCAAAGCACAATGTCTAAAACTGAAAGCATCAAAGCATGGTGTTGGTTTGTCACTGTACAGTGGAGGTAAAGGAGACTTAAAGTATGATTATAGGAATTCACACATTCAGTCGTCAGATGGCTCAGGCCTTCCTTTGACATAATGATTCTGTTCCTTTGGGAATGATTCCATCTGGGCTCCCAGGGCCAGCCACACATAGACATTCTGTCTTTTGTGGTAACTGTGATGATCTTGTAAACACTATGCACCAAAAGCATCTAGGTAGGGGCCGGAGAAATGGCTCAGTGGGTAAAGGAATTTGCTAAGCTTGACCACTTGAGTTCATGTCCAAGAATTGCCACTGTGGAAGGAGTGAAGTGACTGTCACAAGCTGTTCTCTAACTGCATGAGTGTGCAAGTGAGCACTTGTACACACAGGCATGAGTGAGGACATGTGCGCACACATTTTGAAAGCATGTAGATAACTCAAAGTCAGGTGTTTTGCATGGGGGGCTTTCCCACTGTAAATCAAATGCCATTGAATCTACTCAGATTAGAACTTGCTAAGACCCACGACTTGACCTTACTGTAAGAAGGTAACCTTTGGAAATGTATTTCCAAACTCAGTATCACTTTATATGTGGCCCTGATTCTTAAATGTCCCTGAAAACAGGGCATGGGTCACGTAAGGAAGCAAGGGCTTCTTTTAGAGGCTTAGGACTTCCATAATGTTGGAAGTAACATAAGAAATATGAAACACTGCCTGTTCCATTAAGAACAAACTGTACATTAAGAAAAAAAGCTTGACAAAGATCTGAGCTATCTGAGCAAGTTTTGCACTGCAATCACCTTCTACTCCATTAGCTTGTGAGTCCTGCGCATTTCTTAGCACTTTAAGCTGCATAGGGCTGGGCCACTTGTCTGGGATGGGACATAGCAGTGCCTAGTTGCTAACCAAACAGGTGAATATTTGTGTAATTCTGACAACTTTTTGTCAGCCAGGATCAGGAGTGAATATAAGCAACACAATTACTGATTCACCCTATTTCTAAAATTCACCCCATTTAAACAATGATAAATGCGAGGAAGATCAAAGGCTCCAGTCTTAACGGGAACCAGAGTAACCACATAGCCCACTCCAACAGAGAGCCCTGAGCTGCTGTGCTTGGTGGAGTATGCTTATCCACACACATCTGCAGAGATGACAGGGGTCTGATGAGAAATGACAGCACCCTACTCCATCTGGAAGAGCCATTTCTAACACATAAACCCTGGTACAGACAGTCCCTCCAGCACTGACTTCATTCTATGGAAAAGAAGAATTTTTTTAATTTATTTTTTATTTTTTAGTTTTTTTTAAAACTAAAAAAGATAGGGTTTTCTCTGTGTAGTCCTGACTGTCCTAGAACTTGCTCTGTAGAACTCAGAGATCCATCTGCCTCTGCATCCTAAGTGTTGGGATTAAAGGCATGTGTCATTACTACCCAGCCTTGGTTTATTTTAAAAGTAAACTTTACAGGATACCATATGTGATTCAAGAGGCACTTACCTGGATTCCAAGAAAACTGTTCCATGTTTCTTAAGCACACTATTAGCAAGAGCACATAATTTGTGAATCGTTCCTTAATATCTAAAAAAAAAAAGGAGAAAGAGATTGAACATTAAGTGCTAAAATATATTAAATAGGGAAATAATTAAAATAATTTTATTAAAACATCTGTTAAAAAATAAAGTGTTTTTTGGAACTCTTTTAGATACCAAAATTCACAGTGCTCAAGTCCTTCAGACAAAACACTGCACTATCTATCTGGACATAATCTATCACCTTCTGTCATATGCTCGAAGTCATCTCCATCCTTAATAATATTTGATACAACTTAAGAACAATGTATAAAGTTGTTATGATACAACATTACGTAGGGAGCAGGGACAAGAAAGTCTTCACATGTTTAATGCAGATGTGACTTCTGTTTAGAATTTCCTACAGCCATAGAGGACTCACAGCTGAATGTGTGTGTGCACTTGTGCGCACACATGTGTGCACACATGTGCACATATCCCCATCTGTGCAAACCATTACTTCATTTCCCAACATATTTCTAGTATGCAAATTTTATAAAAAATTAAAATGTTCAAATTGAGTCATTAAATGCCTCCAACAGTCTTTGGGAATATATGACAAGTGTTTTCATTTTATAGAAGGAAAACAGAATCACAGAATAAAATACAAGACTTTGTGTGCTTCCAGGAAACATCTAACCTGGTAGTGAATGTGTATGTAATTTCCTACTTAAGAGAACGCTGGCCTTGTAACAGCACTGCTCGGTGGTATGCGGAGAGTCTCTTGTGTGTGTGTGTTTATGCAGGTTTCACAGAGGTGTTTGCCCTATGTTAACAACTAGCCAATTAATTGGAATGAATTCAATGAAAACCAAGAATTGAATTCTTGCCAGAGACAGTTTATATATTTAATTTTTTTCAGCTGTTATTTTCTTCTAGGAGTCAAGAAATAAATACGTGTGACAGTGAGTGTGAACCGTGTGTGTGTGTGTGTGTGTGTGTGTGTGTATGTGCCTGGGAGCTGTGCTTAGGAACTCTCCCTCACAGAGCATAGCTTCCATACCACCTGACTGTGGCACCGCCTGCCAGCACCACGCATCTCATTGTCACCTCAGTGTCCTCTAGGATTGTCCTTGCTTCACCATTTCCCACTGCTGCTGCTCTACAACACGATTGGACTTTTCCTCCACCGCAAATCCTCTCAGGTGAGCTACCTTTACTGTCTGTGCCTTCCCTAAGTTCTTGAACTCTTCCAGTCAGAGCTGGTACCTGCCCTTCTAGAGCTGCCAAGCTTCTCATTTGTGGGTCTGAACTGGGCCTTTAACTCCTTGTGGACACAAATGCTGTGCTATCCATGAAGCCAGCGTATAAATCCTTACACAATACCATTTGTGTGGTAAGTACAGCAATGAGTTTTGAGGTGTGGAGTACAGACTCACCCCCTGTGAATGCACACTAAAACTGGAAAAGCACGTGAGGTTTTCAAGTGCATGTTCTGACTAGCTCCACAACACACGTTCACACGCTTCCATGTCTGTCCTAGCATAGTGCCTAGCAAAGTCAGCCCAACGGGAGGACATATTCTCTGTGCTTCATTAGAGATGGATCTGAATTTGTGGGGGTGCTTTTCTTAATGTACCTTTAACTGGAATTTTATACAGCTATTCACAAATCTGTCTCTGTATGTGTGCTGACTTCTAATTTTCATTCACAAACTTAAAGAAATGTACTTATTTTAACCGTACTACTAAGAATGGCTCTATAAGACAAACTTGGTTCTTAACCCAATTATCTGCAAGGAAACTGAGCATCTATCATTTGAAGCAAGACTACTGGGTTGCTGAGATAATGGAGCCAGAATGATAGCAGTATTTAGCTTGTCTCCAGCTCTCGCACATAGAAGCTACAACATACAACATGACAGCCATGTCAGCTGGAAGGGCACTGATGGGAGAGAAAAAAATTCTGCTCAGGGACTCTTGAGGAAAACAGTTCAGAAGACAGGTGATCCAAAATATGAGAAAATGAATAAAAATCAACCATTTCTGATAAGTAAATATAAGTTTGTAATATGAAAAATGACAGTTTTAAATAGTAAGGAAAGTTGACAAACTAAAAATTAAATTTTTATTTCAAAAATCTATCAACCTAAGTATGGAATGAAACCCAGGAAGAGTGAAAAGAAGTTTTATTCTGCTACTTTCTATTTTTTCTATTTTAATGTTTTACATACATCTTGAAGTCAAGGCTTTATTTACATAAACTGTGAGCTCTACTAAAACATATCTAAAATCTTTAAAAAGGGGTTTTCCTAGTGAAGTAAAATCTATAAATGCCATTGTGGCTCAGAGCTTTCAGACCCATCATTGACAGCCTCACAGAACTGTCTAAAGACCCATCATGGACAGCCCCACAGAACTGTCTAGACCTCACTAATTTCCCATTTGTTCTTTTACTCTTTGAGAAGTTTTCAAATCTACAATTCTAAGCTATTTGCTTTAATTTATTCACCCATCTTTACTTTTGTCATTAATTTCCACACAATGAAATGCACAGATCTTGAGTACATAGGTTGGTAATGTCTGGTGCCCTTTTAACTAGAAACGGAAGAGTTCTACCATCAAGAAAGTTCCTTTGACCCTTCCTCCAGCCATGTCCCATCCCCAACAAGTGACCACTCTCATTTCTGTCATTATAAATTAATCTGTCTGATTGCAGACCTCAGGAAAATGAAATCGTACTTTTTGAGGCTGGTGTTTGTTGAGGAACATGATGCTTGTGATGTACATAGCAGGCTATATCAGTATTTCATTTTTTCCTTTATTTTTATTTAATTTGTTTGGCATTACGTGAATGTGCTGAAGTTTGTATAGTTTGTGAAGGCCAGAGGTGGTTTTGCTAAGGATCCATATGCCTCTCTTTCGAAAGGGACTTTCACTGTGCTGAGGGTCGCTGAGTAGGTCAGGTTGGCTGCTAGGAGCCTCAGGGATCCACCTGTCTTCTTCCCCAAGGCTGAGATTAAAAGCGTATGCCCCTCATCCAGAGTTCTATGTTTTTCACAATAAGACTCGGGTACTCAGGTCAGGGTGGCAAAGCACTTTAGCAACCGGGCCACTTCCAGCCTCCATCTCCTTTACTTGCTGAGTAGTATTACACGGTTTATATGAACGACCATTTATTTTATTCATGTTTTGTTTGATCCTGGGTCATTTCCATTTTGGGGCTACTCTTAGAGTAGAGTTGCCAAACTAACTCCCAGTGCTGAACTACAGGGAGTATGAACACTGAGAAGGAAGTTGTTCCAAAGCTTTCCAGAGTTGTTGCAACATTTACACTCACACTCACCATCAAGGCACGAGACCCAGTTAGTGCCTGTCTTCCCATGACAGGGCACTGCAGCCTACAAGAGCATTCTTGTGGCCATGTGGTAACGTCTCATTTGATTTTCCTTTGTATTTTCCCAGTGATATTTTCCCTAATGATGCTAGGAACATTTGTGAGAACATACTGGCCATTCGAAAATTTTCATTTTTAAAATCCAAGTCTTCTGCTCCTCTAAATCAGATGACTCTTTCATAATTAACTGGCAGAATTTGCAATACATATTCAGGGATAATAAAATCCTTTTCCCGATATATATAACCTCAACATTTTTCTCTTAACATAAATGTGATCTGCCTTTTCATTTAAAAAAATGCTTTTCCTTCATTTTTATTTTGTGTGCCTGAGTGTTTTGCCTATGGGTATATCTGTGCTCCATGTACTTTCAGTGCCTAAGGAGACCAGAAGGGGCGTTGGCTTTTCTGGGACTGGAGTTACAGACACAGGTCCTCTGAAAGAGCAGCCAGTGTTCTTAAGTTCTGAGCCATCTCTTCAGTCCCTGTCTTTTCATTTTTAATCAGCATATATATTTTAAATTTTGAAATTCAACTTTTATATTGCCCTGATGGTTACTAATTTATTTGCGTAGTCTCTAAAAATGTTCCCCTATTCTTGTGGATATAGTCTCCCATATTTTATTTCAGAAATTTTAAGATGTAGCACTTATACTAATGGCAACAAAACATTTTGAATTAACTTGTTTGGAGGAGGACAGAGGTCAAAGTTCTTTCACTTAATATTCATCCAGATGTTAACACTACTAGGTGAAAAATACCTCACTAAATACGGATCTGTTTTAGAAAATACGATTTTTAAAGCTTTAAAAATTATTTTAAGATACAATTAATTTTCATTAAAATGTTATTTAACGTTTATGGTAATGAGTCACTTTCAACAAATGTTAATTATAGCTACAATCAGAATCTAACTACTTACCACTATTTGACATCTGAAAGAGATTGTTCTTTTCAAACTTCTTGAAAACACTTCCTTTAATTTCAACAAACTGAAATAGCAACAGAAATACCATCTTTGTCACTTCAACAGTTGTAAAATCAACTCTCTCCACAAAAAGATTCTTAAGATTAGAGGAAACAAAGAATTGTTTTCAAGCATAGTACTCGTGTGAACACCCTTCCTAACTAACAACAGAAAGCAGAATGTTGCACTTACATTGTTGGACATCATGATAGTAAGCAGGGACTTGTTATGTGAGTTGAAAGCCACATTGAGTGTCGTTGCTTGAACCATTATGAGAATTGCATGTAGAACTAACAGTAAGTCAAGGAAGAAACTTGTTTTCAGAATTATTGACACAATATCAAAAACAGAAGAAATGATCTTATTTTCTAAATCAAATCTGACTAATATTTTCTTATGTCATAATTTTCCTGTTATCTATTTGGTATAGATTTCTCCATGTGAAACAAACAGAAGCAGAAGAAATCTGTACATTTATTATATAAAACTGAACCCCTGGTGCCTGGCACAGCACCTAAGAAGAATTAAGCCTTCAAACAGGTATTAAATAAATGGAAGAAATCATGGTAAGCAATGAAAGAAGAGATGAAGAGATATAAATCTGAATTATAATTCAAAGTTTTAAAAATAAACACAAAGTTAGTGTTGAATAGCTTTTCCTTGGTTACTCAAATGATACAGAAAATTAAAATGGTAAGAAATGTCTTAGATTGTTCTTCATGTCATACAGAATTATATCATACTGCACATGGAATAATTTACCTTTCTTCCACTAAAATGGGAACAAGCTTTGTCCCATTTTGTACCCAAGTATTAATTTCTTCAAAGTGTCACTGACAGTGGGGAAAAGATATGATAGAGTCCTGTGAGTGAGTACAGGTTTCATAGATAAGCACGTGTATGTAAATCTATGTGAGGGTAAGCACAGGTACAAGTATGCACACATGTACAGCCACACACAAATGTGGGAAAGTACTTGTTTTCCAAAAAAGAAACTTGAAGAGAAACATATGCACACACAGACACATACAAAATCTCCATTACTGTATCATGCAAATCACAAACTTCAAGAAAGCTGTTAAGCATAATAAGAGTCACACAGCTAGCTATAGACAGACATCAACTTCTCCCATAATCAACCAATCACAAGAAAAAGCAGTTGGGCATGCAGAAGGCCTTAAACTAATTTACAATGGATATTACAACCAATTTTTCAAAAGGAATGAGTGATTTCATTTTAATCTCCACATATACACCATTTCACGCAGGGATAGGTAAAGAAATAAAATAGGGTAGATCACGCTGGTGACTGGAATGTCCACTAAGTCAAAAAGGATACAGACATAGAGAACAGCCATGAAGAAGTGAGGGATGACTCCGATGTGTGCTCTTTTTCTTTCTTTAGGCTCTGTCGCTGTCCAGTAGAGAGCATCTAAGATATCTTGTCCAAACGAGGAGAACAGACGGTCAGCTACCTGCAGAGAGAAATTGTGGAAGTTTCTTAACTGCTCATTTAAGTACTTTGCCAGCAACCAGATGAAAATCCATCATTAGAAACCTGAGTTTTACAATTCTGGATGGAAAGCTGAAGAAGAGCAAAGCTTATCACTTCCTCTACACACTCCTGGCTCAGCTGAGTACTCAATACACGGGGGACTCAGAATTGGCCTTGTCAAATTAGCCATTTGTAAAAAACAAAACCAAACAAACAAAAAGCAAAAACAAAAAAAAATAAAAATAAAAATTTAAAAAATTGAGAAACTTAAACTAAAAAGTTCAAAGCAATTTACATTTAGTATACAAAGCTCATTAATTAACAGTCACTCAGAATCCTTAAAGTTCTTGTTAAAAAAAAGACAACAACAAAAAACCCAATAGGCAAGAGGGTTTCCAGTGAATGTGCAGTGTGACAGCGTGCGTCCTCAGAACTATGCAGAGGGAACCTTGCCTTTACCTGGAGGAAACGCCTGTCTTTGAGGAGCTGTGCCCTTCACCGATCCAGGAACAGTGTATCAGGCGTCACCTCCATAAAAGCTTAGCTCCCGAGACCCTCAGGTGAATGAAGCACCTTTGCCAGAAGCTACAGCAAGCATTCTTCTCCCCACTCCCTCTACACTGCTAGACTTAAAGTCTTGAGTCCCGGCCAGTCTGCAGCAGCAAGGGGCCTTACCTCCAGCATGTTGTAGATGATATAGAGCTTGATGACAGACTGCCCTCTTATGAGGTGGTACATCATGGAGTAGTCAACATAGTGCATCATAAAATAGCAGATTATCAAGATGACACCCTTCAAAATGTCACACACCTGTGCAGGCTGAAGCAAACGTCTGTCCCTGAAACATACAAGTAATGGAAATAGGAGTTTTACTTCACGTGTTCTCAAAGCAAGCCATCTTTACTGGGCATACAACAGCATACCAAAGTCACAGTGAAAATCAGGCTGACGATGTAAAATTTTTCACAAGGATGGCCACCCAGAAGACTGTGTAGCAGGACACTTTCTGCTGTGTGCACAGTATAAAGACATTATCCTAGAAGTAGATCAGAACTGAAAAGAGTGGGCAGGCACCGGCTGCTGGTCGTGCTTTAAAACAGCAGCTTTCCGGGGACAGCAAAGCTCCCTGTATTCCTGGCGGCTGGACCAGCCCGCCCAGCCCAGTGGGTGCACTATGCACACCACTCTGCACCTTGTCCACTCTACTTAGCGGGCCACATAGAGGGTCTGAGGTCAGTGCTGAAATTACAACCATGCCCAGCTCTACATTTTTCATAGTGGTTCAAAGGATCTCACATCTTTACGGTAATGTAGGTCCTCCCAAAACACATGTTATAATTTTTCCAGCTCATTCTTGACAAATTTCTACTCTTTTCTCACTACAAGCTAGCACAATAGACATGTCTCATAAGTAAAAATGTATCTGTATTATAAATCCTAAAGTTCTAGGTGTAAAGTTATATTCACTTGATATTTTGGTAGAAACAGCTAATATGGCCTCTATTGTGTTGCATCAATTTACACTTCTGCTAGCAATGTATTGAGAAGCCTGTGGTCTATAAGCTCCAAAACAACATGTGACCAAACTCCTGGATTTCTGCCAGTTGCATTGATGAACAACAAAACCCAGTATAGTTTCAATGTTACTTTACCTCTGTAGAGCTGGTACTAGGTGAAGAACAAACCCAGGGCCTTGCTCATGCTAGTCAAGTACTCTACCACTGAACCATACCACCATTTAAAATAATCTTAAAAAACATTTTGAGCCAAGTATCATTAAGGTGTCCCGGAAGGCCTTGAACTTGCAATCTTCCTGCCCTGGCCTCCCAAATAACTTGAATTATAGGCCTATGCTATGAGGTCTTGCTCTGAGTGACTCATTTAAATTTTTAAGATTTATCTAAATTTCTAATGAATCCTTTCCTCATATCTTTTCTTCTTTTTCTCTCCATTTTTGGTACTGGCTTGTAGGACAATCTTTTACTGCAGAAGTTAGTTCTTTGTGACATGACCTGAATTTTTTCACAATTAAATGAGTCGATTCTTCCTTCTGAGACCAGATCATAAAAACTAAGCCTAAGTTATGGAAGAAAACAACAAGATGGAGAAACAAACAGAAAAGAAGAAATTTAGGGTTCCCTTTTACTGGACCTAACATTTTCACAACAAGAATGAGTCTGCTTGAGTCTACTGCAGCTTATTCCTCTGGACCACTGTTCAGACTTCTGTTTTGGCAGCTTTTACCTACAGTGCATTCTTTAGGAGCTGTGGCCTCTTCATCTTTACCAACAGTTGCTACTCCAAGAAACGGTGTGGGCAGAACTCATGACCTCTGAGCTGCACACCTACTTCTTGGGAGTTTCTTGGCTATCTGTTCTGTTCAGCTCCTTCTCAGCCAGCCCATATGAGCAGGACTTTTCCAAAAGAATGTGTGAGTCTTTTAAACTGTTCCTACGATTAGGCTGCAGCGCGGCTCTGAAAGCACCTGTCACAGGACTACATTTCCATGGTTACCAGCAAGTTTGGAAACAATATGGGACACTGCAGGTATGAAAAGGACACATTCAGAAAGGGTCATAAGTCGATGGGAAGACATTCTAGTGACCCTACATGGAGACAAGCCTGGCTTCGCTAGTCGGATCACCTGTCCTACAACAGATGTCGAATTCTGACTGACTGTTCTTTGCAGCTCAAGTTAGAGCTCTGGGCAGAAGCGCAGCCAGCACACAGTCACCATCATTACTTCTATCCCGACTTTCCTTTCTCCAGGGCTGCTCTCCTCCCTCCCACAGAGATCCCAGGCTCACTCTCATGGAAAGCAGGGCAAATTTTATCTTTCACTTCCCACATACCCAATTTAGAGCACACTCTCTACCAAGGGCTAACTGATTATCCCGGAGATTTCATGCCCCACTCCACATGAGGCTAGAACTGGGGACAGGGATTCTTCTGTCAAGAGCAAACACATTTTGAGTTCAAATACCAGGAGGAGACATGCTGAATAGTCTGCATTCCTGGGCTAGGGTGCTTGTTGCCCCACTAACAGCCAGGGAAGACCCTGAGAGGCATCAGTGCAGGTGTGGCTCTAACAACCACTGACTTTCAACACTTTAAAAATGAACCTCCAGGGGCTGGAGAGGTTAAGAGCACTGTCTGATCTTCCAAAGGTCCCGAGTTCAATTCCCCGCACCCACATGGTGGCTCATAACCATCTACGAGATCTGGTACTCTCTTCTGACCTGCAGTCATATATACAGGCAGAACACTGCATACAAAATTACTACATAAATAATTTTAAAAAACTGAACCTTCAAACTGATACAAGTCAGCAATTTACTGCTTTCTACTTGTCAGCAAACTTAACGTTATAAAATTTATCGTTTGGAAAAGTTACTGCTTTAAGAAACAAACATACCTCTCATCTTATTAATTTCTAAAATACACAATAAAAAAGCAGGACAATATACACTTCTCTGGTTCCTCAGCTATTTGTCACTGTCTGCTCTGGTGAACTCTTCGACTAATAACATCTTAACTGGATGCTATGGTGACTACAGGTTTTCAAAATTAAGGACTACTATTCAAATACAGCACAAAACATGATTCATAGCCCTGTAAACAAGGCTCTTCTTCCACACGTGTTGTTAATAAAAAAGGAAAGTAGCAAAGAGAAAACAACAAACTCCTCAAGTAGCATCTTACAAGATACCTGCATGCACCCCAGCTTCTCCAAGATCTAAGCTCACAAATGAGTTTATCTAATTAAAGTAACTTAACCAATCACAGCATTTGCTCCTCTCTGCCAGGATATTTTTAGATGACTATCAGTCAGCATTATCAACACCGTAAGAAGCTTATCTATAATGCTGCCAATCAACCTGGAACGGGCACCTGAACAACCTGTCAGGCGGGCACCTGAACAACCTGTCAGGCTGAGGTTCTGGTTCCAATGGCTGTTAAAGAGCAGCTGTGGGCAGCTCCTTCAGCAAATGCTGGAAATCTCAAGCACATGCTGGATAAAATTAAAAAAAAAAAATCTAAAATACCCCACACCAATCTAATATAGTTTAGAATAATGGTTTGATTACATGCCATGGAATGACAAGCTTAAATAAGATATTCAATAGAACTTAAAATAAAAACATTTAACACAATTTAAAGGATATTCAAGTTAAAACACCATATAGTCTCAAAAAAAAAACCATACTGAAAGATTCTCTGCATCCTAAATTTCACCTTTCAATTCCTACAAATACTTCCACTATACTTTTGCAGTTATTACAGATGGCAATTTCTTGTTATACATTTTACTTGTATACATTATACATCTCTGAGCCATTTAAAGTCTCATAGATCCACAGAAGTAGAATTACTTGGCGGAGAATGATGCTCACTAGGAGGCAGCCTCACCGTTGATACTCTACCTGGAAAGTGGAACTGGTACTAACTAGCAAGATCAAGAAGGAAGAGGCAACCACAAGCTGAGGCACCAGGGCCCTGCTGCTCAGTTAATTTCAAGCCATGGACACAGGACAAGTGTCAGCATGACATACTTCACTGTAAAATACATGTGCACCTAAAGGGGGAGAAGGACAAGTACTACTGAGACTTAAAACCTATGTATTTCACGTGTTCACATTGTTAAGCGAAGTCCCTTTATAATCCTAAAGTAGACTAGAATAAAGTACTAAGAACAAGATGCATTTCCTGACCTGGGAAACTGAAGAGTTTTTCAAGTTTGACTGACACACAGTAACTAATCTCTTGGCAGTTTATACCTGATGGCTAACATCTTTTCTTCTACCTTAAATTAGTTATTAGAATGAAGTGGCTGATTTATGAAGCTGTTTGTGTCAAGCAGCTGGGCTGTGTCCTGGGGCAAGGACTGCGGTGTTTGCTGCCACAGAGACCCAAACAAATCATTAGAGATTACGTCACAGGTGACTGTCAGGGGTGAGATATGGTCAAACATTGTGGGATAAACGTGGATAAAGATTAAGACCAAGTGAGGATGCTAGAGAAGGAGGGGAATCCCAGTTCCTCAGGCTTCCATCCTCAAGTGGTTATGTGTCCTATGCTGGCGCTTTTGCTTTTGTACGGAGGTCAATTTGGCCAAGAGTATAGAAGGAAAAATCAGGGTTTACTCACCACAAGGAGTCCCTGTGCCACCACACTCCATCCTATAAAGGAAGTGAAAG